GGTACTTGAAACTTCTAAGGTACACCATTATATATCTATGGTAGTATCATGGTTTGTTGTTGATGTATAACGCGTTATAAGTACCTAATGGATATTGTGATATTATTTATTTGGAATTTATTATAGGTCAATTTTTTTAATACCATAGCTAAGTATATAATATGTTTTATACCTATATTGACTACCGTCTCTACTTAACTATTACTATATACGTAACTATTTTTAAAAAACCACAAAAATTGCATATCAGACGCATTTAAATTTTGTTTTATTACTTATTATTTAATATATGAGGATATAAATATACCTATAACATGTTACAGTTAGTTTAATATTCTAATTCGTAGACATATTAAAATATATGATATAAATTATAAATAAATACCCAAAATTTTAATTTAAATAAAAAATGTTTATGAAATATAAATGTGATATATATATATATTTAAAAATTCGATGATGACTGCTAGTTATAGCTGGTAGACGGCTTAAGTATTTAATATTAATCTAATAGGCTAAAATATAGAATATTTATACTTTATATTAATATGAGTTAAAATAAAACTCATTTTTTAGATGGTCAGACATCCACCATAGAATGTCACTACCCGTCACCCACCAGTTAAAATAAGGGTGGTTTCAGCGCCACCGATTCAGTGACAATGCTTCGAATTTCCGCAAAAAATATATACATCCATACCACAATTAATAATCCATCTAGTTATGTTGGTTATGCCTTATGATTAAATAATGTGAAACACAAACAATTATGTAACCTACCACCTACGTCAGTATGACTATAGTATGAGCGACAACTGACAATGTAATGCAGACTGCCCAGACTTGGAAGTTGGAGTGCACTTGAAATCGTAATGTTCAATAGGTAGGTATCCTTAATTTAATACTAAAAAGCAAAAATTTAAGACCAGAGACATTCATAGTTAAAACAAAATACAGTGTTCAATTTTGTATACTAAGATGTCCTGCCAAAATAATTATCTAATTGACTAGGTATTATGATTAGAGAGCTGCATTATAAATATTTTTGTAAAAACACATTTTACATACGTGAAAAAAACCATCTTTAAAATCTTTTAAGTCGTTTGTTTTGTTTTTTTCCAACCCTGGTTTCGAGTTCACATGTCAAATTCTATCTCTTAAAAAAATATTAATAAATAAAAAACTGTGGTCTACTCGTGATTTAGCCCTATTTATTTTTTAAAATGATTTGTCCTGTAACTATTCAGAAGTCTTAGAAGCTTGTATTATTTTTTTTTGACTTTGCTAGTCATCGTCACTACTGCCTATCTATCTCTCTTTGAACTGAAAATAATTAAAACTTATTTAAGGAACTCAATAAGACAGAACCGACTGTAAAATATTTTAGATTTAAATATTGAATAATTTCGATGAAGTTTTAAAGTAAAGATTGTTAAAAATAATACTGTTAATTATAGTTAAGTTTTATATTACATACATTTCTTTATTTTGTTTTTATAAGTAAACTACCTGAGTAAGTGGTTATATATTTCTAATTGTTTAATTTGTGATCTTTATTTTATTTGTTTTGTTTACTGAACACTGGTGTAAACAAATTTGAGAAATCATCTTACGATACTTCACTGTTATAGTATAATTGTAGTATTGTTGAACAAAATGTATTACAGCCTATAGGAGTTAGGTAATATGATATACGGACAATTGGGGCCTAAAAATCTTAGTTGTGGCACTGACTAATACGATTTTTAATTTTTACCAAGACATTTTATTTGTTTATATTTTTATTTAAATGATAAGTTAAGATAAGTTTTTAATTTTTTTTAAATTTTTTTTATATTAAATTATAGTAAATTTGCAATCCATAATAATATAATATTTCTCTGAACATTTGTACGTCAGACGAGGTAAGTGCCTATTGAATTTTAATCCAAATAGTTACATGCTGATAATTAAAAAAATAAAACAACTCTTACTCACAAATCTTTTAGATAATATTTACAAACAAATCTTAGTAAAATTATCTATACAAAAAAACTGATCTAAAATTACCTCTCTTTCTAACACTTAGGATTTTAGACATGGCTATCCTACTCTTCGGTCATTTGACGTTTTGCTACATCGATCGAATTAAACGGTGCAATAATATAGTGTCTATTATTAATTGATGGTTAATAACTTGGTACCTACGTATTTTCGTATTATCTTTACCTAGTTTTTTAATATAATGTTTTCTTAATTAATATATTTTGAAGAGTTTCTAATATAGAAATTTTGGTTTGGTTTGGAAGGTTATTATTTTAATTTTGCGTTTTGACATGTGTTGATTTGACGTACCTATATTGTGTGCATCATTATTTAATTGATTTGTGTGGTATTCATTTTAATAATTGAACACAATTGTTCTGGATATAATATATTATTTGATGACCAATAGGTAATTTTTATTCTACTACGAGGGACGTCCAGAAAGTAAGGTTCAACATGTGTTAAAAATTGGAAAATTAATATATTTAAATGCAATTTACCAGATAATGGTGATAATTTTGAAAAAAAATTCTATTCGGCCTACATGTCCGTTGTAATCTTATTTTTTGGACGTCCCTCATATTAAGATATTTGGTCAAACTATAGGTACTTACAACATTAACTTTCACTAATTTACGTTAAGGACATTTGTTTAATCGTAGGTAGTCAAAGTGTCACACTATTACACAGTGTTGGGTAGTAATGTAAATCAAATTACAAATTACTGTAAAGCAATTACTTTTTCAGTAACGCAGCAGTAGTTTCATTACATTTTACTTAAAGTTACGCAATTGTAACAAAATTACTTTTGAAAAGTAATTTCTATGAAATAAGGCACTAACGCTTTATTTTTCTCGTTATTAAAATAATAGTTATGAATTTATTACAAACACAAGCCGATCGGATATCCCAGAAAAATTAATAATCAATTATATTTATTTTTGATTCCGATAATAGTCAACAATATTACTAAACATTCCAGGAATAAATGTTATCACTTTATTAGCAGAAACAAAAGTTTTCGGTTTAAAAATAAAAATTGATTACAATTAATTATGATTTAAGACTTATAGCTATAAAGCAATATAGGTGAGATGATTTATACTTGTACATAATACTGCCTATAATATTTATATTATCACTAGGTGTATGATATTGTAAAATATATACATAACAATTGAATCGTAGGAATTGAATAAGGTTCAAAAAAAAAAGTAACGTTATTTAATTTACCCAACACTGCTGTAATAATTACATAAATGCATAATGCATAACAAAACAGTGGTAAAAAATATTTTTAAAGTGGGTTTTCTATTTGATAGTAGAGAGATCGGACATATGGCCTCCACTCTGAGGTAATACCAATAAATAAAACCTAAGCAAAATTCAAACATTTCAAAACAAAAACGTACCAATAACCAATTCCCTCTTCTTATATTTCCAATTTTGCTGTACACTCAGATCAAAAATTAAAACTACTCATGAAAAATAAAAACGTATTAAAAACGATCTTTTACCAGGCTTATCCTTCCCCATCACAACCCCCTGATATCTGATCTAGCCACTCGCGTAACTCCTCGAAACATCCCACACTACGTCTGAAAATAAATTCGTGTCTTCTTGATGATTAATGATAATAACGAATAACAATACAACAGAAATTCTAAAAAAAAGAATATATATGTTTGAACAAAAGGTAGTGCTGAATGGCTGAATGTCTTCTTCCCTCACATATTTTTTCTTTTCATATTCTCTTTTTATATAGCATAATCTTATTTATCACTACAGTAAAGATTGTATAATTCTGATAAAAAAATATAATACAATATAAATGTATAATTTTTTGTATTAACGACGAGATCCACTTGTAGTTTGTAAATAACAATTCATTTTAAACATTATGTATATTGTAATATGTAATAATAATAATATAATAACATGTTACAGTACCTATAATATAGGTCCTATATACAATGTGTAGTGAACGGCAATGATTAATTGTCTCTGGTGGCTTTATGCGACGCCGTTCTCCACCTTAACGATAACATTTTTGTCCCACAAGTATTATTTCTTCGGTTTTTCCCCTCTCTCTCTCACCCTTTCTCACTCTTTCCATTTGGTTACCAGAAAAATATGGACAAGACGACAACCACAGCTCGACGGTGCTCATACATAAATATAGATGAAATTACCTACTCGACAAAAAGCCAAATCATTAAGGAACGAAAATATATATTATTATTTATTACACGTATTATATAATATTATAGTACATTATTACCTACTTCATTCAACAATCACTTGCATGTTACATATTATACACATTACGGATTTTTAAAGTATACAATTTTATGTTTTTTTTTATGCCTGTACTCCCAAAAAGGAAATACTTATTTTTGAATTTAATCGTAAATATTTTGACTTGCAGCTGCAAGTGGATTAACACAGCTGATGAAAATTATTTTTTTTATTTTTTTTGCTTACCTACTTATTAAGTTTGAAAAAATCTATAAGCTATAAGTCAACTAAGTTAAATTAATTTTACTTCTAAGTTCTAAATATTGTAATTAATAATTATAATACCTACATAAATTGAAGTCTATATTTTACTATTTATTACATATCAGATGATCTAGAAAATTGGATATACGTCAATAGATAGCGGACAATTGATAGCGCGACAATTGATAGCGGTCAATTTATAGCACGTAAATTGATTGCGAGCGACTTTTGATAGTTTGACAATTTGTAGCATACTAAAGAATTAGATGACCAAACAATTATCAAAAAAAAAATATACTATATAGTAATAAATAATTGCAAGGCATAATTAAAATTATATATAAAAATCTTCATTAACTAAAAATTATCAAGTATAATATGTTATAACTTATAAGTCATAATTTACGTGTCATACTCATAATTAAAATTTAGCTGCCTAAAAAAAATATATTATAAACATTTTATTAAAATTATTAAGTATAATATTTTATAAGATTTGTCTCAGATTTATTATCAAATTGTAAAAATTGCTCACCATTCGTTGTTTTCGTGAATTGGTCTGGAATTTCAAAATTAAAATTTTGAGGATTAATTGGAGCTCCTAAATGAGATTGACGAACTCGCTGAACGGTTCTTTTTAAAGTTGGCACATTCGGTAATTGCCCAGCAACTGAAGCAGATACCTTAATAATAAAAATAATATTAATAATAATAACTTAAAGAAATAATATAGTATGTACCTGAGAAGCAAGCGATCTAATTAGTGAATGCGTGGAATTAGATGTACATTTTGCATTTATTTTCATCTCATTTATTGCAGTTTTAACTTCTATTTGAGCAATATCAGGAACATGGTTATGGTCAATTTTTTTTGAAATTTTCTCATTATCGATATCACCAATAACATGAACGCGGCCTCGGCATTTATTTTTAAAACGTACGCATCTCCATATCTTCTTTTGTACTCCATTTTTTTCGAAATGGTACATGAAACCATCATCAACTAATATATTTGAACCTCTTTCACTTTTTACATATTTTAAAATTACTATATTATATAGGTAATTGTTAGAAGTAGTACTGTTGTATGGTGTTGTACCGACTGACAACTGATATAGTTTATGGTACAGGTACTATAGTGTAGGTATTGAATTGTCTCATTATCTATATTGCCCATATTATTTTAGATAGTAATATCTATTAAGTTTCCAATCATGATATATTTTATCGGTTTTATTTTGTTTTTTTCGGTTAATAATTGTTTGATTATTGAATTCTATACGACGCTACAAATTGTCATACTATCAAAAGTCGCTCGCGATCTATTTACGCGCTATCAATTGTCGCGCTACCAATTATCCGCTATCTATTGACGGGACACCTAGAAAATTACGTTAAAACCATGACTTTTGTACGTAATATGATATAATTAAATTATTATAATTTAATAAAAATATGAATATAATGTATTTTTGGGATAATACTGTAAATATATTTCATAAAAAATTAATTTTCTATAAAATAGGCACAATTTTGTTTCAACACGTAGCTATAAATATTTTTAGAATATTTTTCTTTAGTTTTCTACACAGTTTGATTTTATGTTCTAATTACAATAATATGTCAATATAATTTTTTTTAAATGTTCATAATAGTCCAAATGAGAGAAATGCATTTCCCCGGCACCACCTTAAAGTAATTTTGAAATTTTTTTTGCATTTTATTATTACACAACCCACAATAGTTAAAACTTTATCCATTAAAACAATATTTAATTGTTGTGTTTATAGATACATCTATATTTCTATTTTTAATGTGTATTATAAGTATAATAGTACAATATAATATGTATAAGTATATGCCAAGGGCGGGAAAGTTAATGAAAATAATTAAATCAAGTGAAGTTAAAATTAGTTAACAGTTAACAAATCATAAATTTAACTCAATAAGTTAAAATTTAATTGGGAAATAAATATTAACTTATATAACTCAGTTTGAAATAAGTTAATCTACTTTTTTAAATTAGTATGCGGATAACCTAAAGTGTTACTAAGTTCTTTCTAAATTTCCTAAATAAGAATAACATTTTTTTATTGAATTATCAATGTAATGTGCAGTGTATGTACCTTACAAGATTATTTAATATTTAAACTATACCAAAACATCACAATTATTAATAATTTAACAAATATTACGTATTTTTATATCAAATAGCAATTTGAAGTTATGCCTATGTAATCAACTAAAATATATATTTTCACAAAATATTTTTATCAAGAAAAATAACAGAAATATTAATACTATTATATTATTTGATTATTTTCATTTTAATTTTAGTAATAAAATTTACGTATAAAACCATAAACGAACAATCAAATCACGTTATTTGATCGAACGTTATATAGGTAGAACTACATTTTTATTTTGTAGTTGTGCGTGTGTAACCATATCATAACATTATTATAGTAATACTTACTATAGCTGTGATCTTGCTCGTCGTTGCCCTCGACAAAATAAATACCAGTTTACCCCTTCTTAAATTCCATTAAATGTAAACTGCGTCGTACATTCGTGTACATCTGTGCATGTCCTTGGCATTTTTGTTATCCAGACGTTGAACCACGCCATGGGATGGTCGACCGACTTGTTTACCGAACGGTTTACGACCATCACAACATTATTATAACATAATAGAACCGTGACGCATTATATTTTATTTTTCTTACCCATGGCCAGACGCACAAAAATATTTTTTCTGTTGAAAATACTCGCTGTAGCTACGTAGCTTGAATCGATACGAGTTGCGTAAGCGGACGCCACACCCACATGTGTTGTCTCCGTCTTACAAACGCGTAACATAACAAATTCAGGTTTTATGCCGTTGGCTTAAAAATAAGAGTGAATCGAATTATTATGAAAATTGATGGTAAGAACATTATCTGTGTTTTTTTGTAAGTTTTTTTTACAATAATTCAGTTTTTAAACGAGTTATGAGCATTTTTAATTTACATTTATTATACCCGCATAACTCACTTAGAAACTGAATTATCGAAAAAAACTTCCAACAAAAGACAGATAATGTTCTTACCATCAAGTCTCATAATAGGTCGATTCACTATAATGTTTAAGTTAACGGCATAAAACGTGAATTTCTGAACGTAAATTTGGTATGTTATGTGTTTGTAAGACGGATACAGCACACTCGGGTGTGGCGTCCTCTTAATACCTTATGAGAAATAAATAGAAAGTTAAAGTAATAATATGTACAATGGCACCTACAGTATATATTATTATATTCAAAATCAGAAAACGACGATTACAATAATAATAATAAATTGTGGAATATCGAAATAAGAAAAACCTATTCGGCTACGATACGCGTCGACAGCTGGCAGCGGTGCAACGGGTCTGTTGTAGGACAGACGGCCGGTGTCGCAGGTTTCTAATACCCTCAAATAGTTTTACCTGGGAGAGATTATATACTAGGATATTATTAACACCCCCCCCCCCCCCGGTAAAAATGTGTTTTTAAGGGAGGTAAAAATATCCTAGCATATAATTAACGATCTGTTTAAAATATACTAGAATATATTTATCTCCCATTGAATTTTTATAGTAGATCATTTTGAATACAGGATGCGCCCCTTATATCAATCTTTTAACTTCATACGCAATTACCTATACAAATTTTTAATTTTTACGCTTGTCGCGTACATAACTACTACTGTTTTGTTTCAAAATTTCAGTTTTTAACTCCACGATCTGTCATGCCCTCAAACCAGATTACTTATATAATTTTTGTAAAAATAGTTATTAACGATGTATTGGGGTTGTGGGTAATACCGTTAATATACATAACACAACTGGAATTATGCATTATAGTATGCCTACATAGGATTTGACGCGACGCGCCAACAGGACATCGATAACAATAATATTAATATCAATCGAATTTCTTTTATTCATTCGTTAGTTAGACGTGTTGTATGTAACTGTTGTGTATATTAATATTTATATCATACATTTTACACGTTTGTTTTAAATAACAATAATACCATAATGTTTAGACCATGGGAATCCAAAATCGAGGATGCAGCTGGTAAGTATTTATTTTTTTTTTTATCATAAAATGCATATTTACATAATGTTTTATTGTTTAATAAATACACCAATAAAGTAGTAGTTTAGTAGTTATGAAAAATTGGTTTCTATATGGAAAAATAGTAAATACAGCACTCAATGTTATTTGACTGCAATATTATTAACATATTGAATAAAAGGGTGACACTTATTTTAAATGCATTTTTTTTTTATTGCCTTTTATTTTTTTCAAAATAAATTGAATGTTTTATTGTCTGTTTATTAGTATACAAATATGTATAAATTATTAAGTGATAAAGGGGTGATACTGTAAGCAACGACGCTCTTTACAAAGTACGGACGTAGGAGCTACCTTGGGGACCCGTCAAAATATCTCCGACAAAATTATCTCCAATACAAAATATTTCCGACAAATTATCTTCAAAAAATTTTAAAATAAAAAATATAAAAAAATCATGTTTTAAAATTGTATGTTTCGAGCAAAAATTAAATCAAATAAACAAATATCAAAATATTATTTTACACATAATCGTAAAAAAAAAAATATAAAAAAATCATGTTTTAAAGATTTATGTTTTGAGCAATTCCTCTTAAGTAAAGAACGGCTGGAGTTTCATTGAATTTTTTCACTACGTTCAATATCATTTCATCGTGGTTCTTATATTTTTTTTTTTTTGGACTAGGCTCTCCAGAAATTAATTTTTCTAACCGAACCTGTAAAATATACATTAAATTTTTATTTTTGATAATCAACACAACGCCAAATGAATTTATCACTACCCTTTTTATAATATAAATGCAAATATCCATTGTTTATTAAAAGTTGTTTACCTTTTTGGCTTTTAACAAATTTTAAAGGCATATTTAGGTAATAGTACGTTAACGCACATGCACGTAACACAAACCAATGTCACGCAGTGTCAGTGTGTGACACAGTTCCGGCTCTCTCGTCTAAATGTTTATCTATCGATTAGGTATAATCAAATAAAATTACCTATCTGTAACTTCATCTGTATTGGTAAGCTCCAAGCGGACCATAATAGGGAAGTACAAAGTACGCACTCACTATCAGCGTCAATAACATTTTCTCAATCAGATAGCTATGGCATAAATCGGTAGATATTTTGTATTTTAGATCATTTTGACGGAGATATTTTTAATGGAGATATTTTGTCGTATAACCAGCTACCTTTAAGCACCTTACCAACCGCCACCACGGGCTACGACGGCGCGACACTGTCGACTCCCCCACCATTGATGTATATAGGGGGGAGGCCCCCTAGGCCAGAGCCCATAGTGAAATTGCATGTATATTTACACTGTTTACAGTTTTTCACCATGATTAATTTAGCCGGTTGATTAAAATCGTTTTTGAGAAATCAACAAGGAAATGTTAGATTGTCAGGACTTGCTTTGATATTAAATTCAATAGGTATTCATAGTAAAATAACATTAGAATATATAAATGAAACCATCAATATTTTCTAAAAAATTGATTTTACATAATAATAATTATAAAATTAAATTGCGCAATTTTTATTTGTATTGTATATGTCATAAATCATAATTATTAGTTCTAGCTCCCTAAAAAATTTACAGTTATGGCTATATTGGTCGTGCTATGCTTGACTAGTGATAAATTGGCCAGAATGTGTGACGGGGAAGCGAGTCACGCCGGACGAGTGCCGGCCGCCGACGACATCTCTCTCGTTAACTGACCACCAACACGACCTGACCCGTCTCTGTTAATATTGTAAAAAAAAACGCATTATACGTTCTGTTCGCCGAACCACGTTTTTTTTCCAGACTCATAATTTGAACTGTTTACTGTTATATTGAAAAACGCCACACGGCGTCAGTCTGTTTTCGTTGTTCTATTGTATTTGTT